TCGTTTTTCAAAGAATCCATGTTCATTCGCATATACAACTGCGGTTCAGGTCCGAGTTGCTAACGATTTTTGTGTTCAGGAGCTGCTTGAGGCTGTGTTGGAGCTAGAGAGCTGAGTTTAAAACTTTTATCTCGCACGTGCATAAAGAATATCTCTGCAAAGTTTCAGCTTTCCACGTTGCCTGGTTCGCGAAATCATTTCCCGCCAACAAATTTCTTTGGGGTCCCGTACGTAGGGGTTTAGGTGCGTATGGGGAGAGATCTTAAAACGGGAGGATGACACACGGGATAGGAACATATGTCCAGAGTTTCAGCCTCCCAGCTTTCCTGGTTGCTGAGATGAAAGTGGGTGACAAAATGCACTCGCTTTCCGCACACACACACACACACCCACATACACACACCCACCCACACACACCCACACACACACCCACCCACACACACCCACACACACACCCACACACACCCACCCACACATACACACGCACCCACCCTCACACACACACACACACACACAAACACACACACAGATAGCCTCTCGACAATATGCGTTTTTGCTAGCTGTATCAGCGCTATAGCGCTGCACAACAAAAACGCATAAAAAGCCAAAATTTCTTGGACAAGACAAAAAACACATTAGATAAGACCGAACTAAAGCTAAATTTTCACAGAACTCATAAAACTAGCATTTGTAAACGTCTAAGTTCCCTGCGGATATGGCGAACTTGAGGATACGCTGTGCCGATAGTGGCTTCACGCAAAATCTATGCTAGTCATAACACGCCGGAGGTAAGGTTTTATGCTAGTCATAACACGCCCGTAATGCATCTTTACTGCTCCAGGCGATGCCCTTTCCTCCTTGCATGTAAGAAAAGACAAAAACATTTCCAGTATTTGCACACGTGCTAAACTGCAAAGCAACAATTTTTCATACTGTTTGCCAGGTCTAGTGAAAAACGCATAATCTCACCGAAAACCTTCTGGGTTCATCTTAGCGCAAAAATGTCACTTGTTTAGAGAGACATCAATTGTTGCTGGTGTTTTACCGTTGAAGCATGTTGCAAGCCAGGCAAGTAATGGTGTAAGGCACCGACAATCCACTCATCTAAACATTCCAGCGCCACTCGCAATGCATGATACTCGGGACAGGGCACAGAGGTTGGTTTCTCTTATGTGAATATTGGTTAAATCATTTTAATCAATCTGCGTGCTACAATCGACTCAATCAAGTTATGAGACTACAAATCTTGAATCAAAACCCCTGCAAAAAAAAAAAAAAATCTTCTTTCAAACGGCTTTCAAAACAGCTGCGGTTCTCTAACTGTAAAACAGTTTAACTCATTTTAAAAAAGA